TTTAGTATCAAACATGATAAAATATTAGTATTTGTTTCCGAAAATTGCAGTGTTATATAAATATTTGTGAATTAAAATGATACATGTCAAGTTTTCTTCAGTAACAATCGCTGGTACATCAAGTGATAGACAGATATTGTAGTACAAATTTTGTTGATTTGAAAGTTTTACATCGGCTGCATCTGTCTGCGGAGCGACATGTGGTCGAGTATAATATGCTTTGCAGGTAGCACACGGCAGGTCTTCAAAACGCTTTTATCTGGTGGTTGTATAGTGATAAATACACTACAAATACCAGCAACGACTAAATAAAGGTACACAAAACAGACCCATATGAAGGTCGTTAGGTTGTTGAAACTGTTTTGATCCTCGCTACGTGATACGTGTTGGTGCAGTGAATATCTGATCCTGTTCGGGGAATGGCTTGAGAGTAATAGATTGATTGAACTTTATCAATACTTTAAGACTACATGTCATGAGCAGACTTTTTACTGTTGTAGAGAATGTTTTGCAACATAGGAAAAGCTTCACAATAATGATATACCAAAGTGCATGGAAAAGCAAAAATGCTACAATTGGAGGTCGAAAACACGACTGATTGTGTGCCGTCTTCCACATGCGCTTAGTACTTTGATACTCTTGTTTAGCTATAGTTTGCCAAACGTTTTGAATAAAAATTCACCCAGCACTCCCGACAACCCGCTTGAGACTAGGGTAATCTGGATTTCAAGAAAAGGCACATTATTTCTAGTTTTATCCCAATACCGTAAACGGTGTTTTTCCTAGTTGATCGTAATCTCATATCCCTCTTATAAGTCATATTTCAGCCTATGACGTCTATCAAGTAATAAGTTCGTGAATTTAGCCTTCTAAGTAGTTGAGATTTTGTTTGTTTTTATTTCACTATCCTTTATTGCATATACAATGATCAAACGTTTAGGAAGGAGAAATCAGTCAGTCAGAGCGCTGACATACAGCGCAGACGGGGATAAGATACGAAAACACGTCCCCCGGAGCAATAACTTGGTGACATTTGCCACTGAGCCCGCACCATTCCTATACTTGGCCAGCCATTGGACGTTTTCTGGGGCTCTGATATTCTTTCAGAAGTGAGGAGTCTAGGCTCCAAAGCGAGGCCGTATCAATTGGCATTGATTGGGTTGAAAGTGTTTAATTTTTTCTGTGATCCTAGTTTCAAGTCCGACAAATGGTTTGATTTTAGAACTTCTACTTTACTGATAGATGATGGCGTGATAGAACTAAACAAATGTTTTTCTCGCGCGATGTTTGGGCGTTCGTTTTCAGATCAATGTAGTCTTTGAGGATTTTATGAGAAATATATTACTGCATTTCAGCTCAATTATGCTTTTTCTAAAGTGTTTAATGTTCTGTTCTACTGTATGAACAACGCGCAAATTGTAAGTGTAAATGCCTCTAGTTTACAAGTTGCGAGCGACGCTCAACTCAGTGCTTTCGTAATCTATACAAAATGTACTTGAAACGTTGGTAAAAGGGTCAAATAACGTAAATACCGAAAGATATTAGCACAATGCCAGGTATATATCGGGACCAAACGTTTTTATGTCTTTTAAAAAACAAAATGTTTGTGTTGAACATAATTAACTGCCCATACACTGACAATTCCACTTTGGAGCGGTTAAAGCACGGGATTATGATTGGTACCACTGCTATCCCCTACACAAAGTGAGGTTCACTTTGTTCATAATCATCTTCTATTGTGAAGGTACCTTTCTTCAACCCCAATAGCCACCGGGATTGAATGCGTTGGGGTTTTGTCTATTGGTTTTACTTGCGGGATCCCAATGCACATTTATCATGCTGCAATACATAACTTGTTCTTTACCCACTATTAGTTTCTCCAAGTAGGAAGATAACGTTTCACAGATCCAAATGATAAGAAACCAGAAGGATATCATGACAAGATAACTAGTCATCCAAAAACTAAACAAGCGTTTGTCATTTCAGTAGTATTATCATTATTATTGTAATGATCACTTTTAACTTCTTCCAGGACTCAATTCAAAGCTTTTCTCAGCTACCATGGACTCGTAATTATGAGAGCCCAATGGTAATTAAAAACACAAAGTCGATAAAGGCCTCGTCATATTTCCGTCATGGTAAAGCTTTCATAAGCTAAATCCTTTGTCACGTGGCATCGCAGTTTAATTTGCGAAAATGTTGTGGTAAAAGTTTTGAAGCGGAGATCAGAACAAGCCAAGTCATGTGTGACAGTCAACATCAGCAAACCAACAAAATAAAGTGTAGAAAAATTTACAAATAGTGAACATGCTTATCATCACCGAAATGTAAAATAAACAATGCTGAGAGCTCAATCCGAGTACATTCGCGTGGACTCAATAAGGAAATTTTTCGCATTTCCAATATAAAAAAAATATATGGCATTTTAATATTTTTAAACCAGCTGCACCGAAACCGAAGCCACAGATTTTGCACTTTATATCGTTCTATCTTGCACATCTATACTGCATCGGTTTAATCTCTTTAGAAATAAGCATCCGTTAACCGTATAGGAAGTATCAGTAGTGCTATTAAATTATTTCACCGTAGCGGAATCTTGATGAAAACAATAACACATTTATTTCAATATCAATTGACATGTATCCCTCGCTGACGAGATATCTGTCGAATGATGCTCAAATTTATATTGGTTCACAGATTAGATATTCTTTAACCACTTCATGCTAGTATCTCAGTTTGATTGAAGTTCTACGTGATTTTTACTTTGTAGATATTTTCAAAATTTCAAATGGTGTCTCAGCAATGCACAATCAATGTGCACCACAGCTTTTGGACCGCGAATCCACCACTAATGCAGAAGTGATTGACGAACGTGCACTCCTCAAATGTAAAACGTATTTGCCTCCTGAATGTTCCGGATTTGATATCAAAACAGAGTGGTTTAAACAACACAAATCTGGAATAATCAGGTGATTTCACCCAAAACCAGTAACGTTTGTACTGTATTCGGCAATAAATTATTTTCGTCATCCATACCATTAGCTAAATGCATTATATTGCGTGTGTACTATTGAACTTGGAATTTGGTTTTATCTTTTGCCTAGTTTAAACGGTAACTCGTTTGATTTCTCTGTTCCATGAAAGGTTTTACCACCCACCTTTTGATTATTTGAACAAGCGGATTACAGAGCATGCAAACATGAACGATTAGTATCAATCGAGGCGGGAATTGGCAATTGTATCGTATTTTGTTGTGTATAATTTTTACAAGCACTTAAGTTTACACTTCGATTACTGATTTTCTCAAGAAACGAATGGAAAATTACTACCGGTTCAAACAGTTTCTCTATTTTATTTAATCATGAAATCTAAAATTAAACTTTGCTCTATTTATTTTTATCACTTCCGTGGTGTATCGTAACATGATCAAGATTTTCCGCAACATATTAGGTAATAATATTTCGTTGAGTCGCAAATTCAAATCAGGCTCCATTTGAGCCTTCGCATTCACCAAAACAAAGTGAGATTCTAATTGTGCCTAATCATGTAAGTAAAACAGAAATATTTAGGTTGTCATCGCAGTAATAGTAACAATCGAAAGATTTCATGCAATACATGAATGACGAGGTCTCAGCGTTATTCGAGGATTCGCAACTGTTAGCAGTTGAATCGATATATATATTAATTACACCTTAAGGGATTTGTGATACAAAGAGGCTGTAAGCAAAACCGGTGAGGAGAAAAAACCCAAACCCAAATACTTGATGATACTTTGTCAAATGCAATTACCCGTTCACGTTTCCGCTGCTCAATTCTCGTGCGACCAAATTTCTATTCTTAGGTCAGGTTCCAGATAAATGTTCACTACATAATTCTTGATCTATTGTGTACATTGATATTGCCGTCCTTTCTTTGGATTAAACCCCTATTAAACCTTTTCTGTGGATTTTCCGCTTGTGGTTTATTTCATTTTTTCCTATGCAGGCTCAAAAGTGATAATTTCTCCGTCCTCGTGCTGCCTAGTTCGAATGCTTCCACGACAACTGTCTATCAGTGTATTGCCCAGAACCAATTCGGAGCCGTTTCTCGTCGGTTTATCTGCAAGTTGAAAAGTGTGTTCCACCTACTAATACTTCTACTTAATAAACGAAACTATTGTGAGAGACGAATATATGAACTGTCTAAACTGAATTCGTCGTATAAGATTGCTCGTGCGGTTCTAATCAAATTATTCACCAAAGCCATGAATGAATTGTTTCAATTACGTCATTCTTCACTTTCGAAGAGAGAAATCATATTCGCTTGCTCTGTGTTAAATCCTTCTCTGTTTAATTTGTTTACTTAGTTAATTCATCACTTGGTCTGTTGATTATGTTAACTACACAATTAACTACTCCGATATCATTTTTCAATTGTGAAATAAACTGAATCGATCAAATGGATGCATTTTTAGTCTGAATGTGGGTAAAATGCGTAAACCATGGACCATATGGACCTTAGGCTATGAGAATTGCAAGAAAAAATGCCGTATAATTTCCGTAACTCAGATTTTCGTACTGAGCCACCTATGCCGTTTGATTTATCAGATTGTATTAGTTTTGAAACGAAATCATGAGATCAATTCAGTGTTTAAGGTCACTGTTTGTGTGTGCGAGTTCAAAAAACCAAGGAAGTTGTTAATGCCTCTCAAAAGTTTGTCAAAATCATCTTTTCCCATTGACCGTAGTCTCAGTCACATCAGTCTGATTGACTTTCATTGCCATTTATCTCTTTTGCAGGCAACGGGAAAACCGAATTTCTATCTGAAGACTTGCATCTTCCTCCCATAGGTATTGAAAGGTATTCCACAAGCAATTGTTGTTGACTTTAGACGAGCTATCTTGGATGCCATCGATGAAGACAGAACAATCAGAACATGTAGTTTACATTGGAAAGAATGCAGATTTCAC